CTGTAAGTCAAAAACCAGATTTTTAAAACAAGAAATAGATGATACATTCCATTCTTCCCTGTCTATACTGGGGGAGTTCTGCACACAGGAGATAACAATATTTATTATTTTTTTGCCATCAATGATCACACATACTTAAACTTGAGCCTGCAATTGCTTGGTGGCATTTGTTTGACTGGGAAGTCCGGAAAAATGTGTTAACAACCAAAGATTGCAGCAAAACAATCACAAACTTTAAAAAAAAATTTCAACAAAAACAAAAGAAATGTTTGAGGAAATGACCAGCTATTGATGTAACTGCTGGGAACTCTCTCCTATCTTAAAGAAAACAAATAGTCTGCGAACGTAAATAGTCCACCCATGTAAAACATAGAAGTAGCAGGGAAAAAAAAAATCTTGAGAAATAAAACCCAGAAAAGAGCATCTCTAACCAAGAGTAAATTTCATACACTTTCTTCAACTGTCCCAAACAAGAAATAGACACCCATCAAAAACTGATGAACACCATAAAAAGGAGAGTCTGAAGTGAAAGGACCAGTAGGCTACAGAGAGTTGAAGACAGTATGATTCACTTGCACTAAAGACAAATTGTCAGGTGTTTGGCTGTTGAGATAGCAAGGAACTTGATTCATTCTCATAAAACAAAAGGCCTTTCACACTTGCCCTCTTAATTCTTTGACACAAAACCACAGGAATCATTCATAATGAAATAGCAACTGGAAAAAGCATTAGATTTCCAGCTCAAGCAGCTGGAGGAAAAGTACTTTACTTTCCGAAAATGTATCTGAATTACAGCAAAATGGCAAGAAGTCACTGCTTTTAGACATGAAGCACACCATCATGCCCATGTTGTTATAATAGAAATTTGAATATAAAAACAGCATTTAGTAAAAATTTTATTTGAAATGTAGCATGAATCCATAACCATAAGTGTTACAACATCCAGTTTTACAGAGAATGTGTACAATATAACAGGTATTTCTATACATGCGCCGCCCCCGCCCCCCGTTTTTATTTAGTCATTATCAAACAAACGATAGTTAAACAGGAATAATAAGCATCCACTTCTAAAAAGAAAACTTTGGCATGTATACAGCTGGCTAGTTAAAAGTAAACAGCGGTAGATTCAAGTCAGAAAGAGACCCACTTGTTTTGATTCAAAGCATTTTTGATCAGGATGCAATTCACCAGTACTATTTTCTAGTTAATACAAAAACGAGTACTCTTTTTTCTCAGTCCAGAAAGCCCCGTTAAGGGACAAAAATTGGTTGAGAGATGTAAAAGAACCAACTTTTAACTCTTAAAAGGTGTCAGTTTCAAAGCAGTTTAGGTCACAAGTATTTTGCACACATTGGTCTGGTCATGAACAAAACAAACCTTTAATGGTTTGTTCGTATTACTGAACCATCTATCACTTGGCACAACTGACAATTTCTCCTTTGGACTAGAATAAGCATGAGTATTGTTGCCTCAAAAGTCATGTCCATTGCTGGAGCATAAAAAAAAACTGAAGTAGAATTTGTGCTGTGCCCATCTTCTGTCTTGAGTTTCCGTCACTGCTGTTGGCCACTTAGCTACCAAATTCATCCAAGAAATGAAGGAAAACATTTTGCAAGGCGTTTCTTCCTGTATTTCCATTTTAAAAAATCAGAAAGCAATGAAAGAACCCCTGAATAGTAAGTAATAACAAGCCTCCTTTGAGAAGAATTACTTGCAATTCCTCAAGTACTTACAAAAAAAATACAGTATTTATACAACTTCTCCAGAACTATTGTAATTAACATATTTTAATGTAGTACTAATAAAATAAATCCATAGATATAAATGGTTGCACTTCTAAGCAGGAATATCTAACCCAGATTTAGACTTTGCTGCAATTTCATTATTGCTGTGGAACAGACAGTGGTTAAGTCGTGTGAACACTAGCCTCTCTTTCTTAAGTACATCGGAACATCTAATTTGAAAAAACGTCCTCCAGCAAGTCAGAACACATTTTATGTCATTTTTACAGTTCCTGCTAAATGTTAGCGATCCAAAGTCGACTGAATCATGGTGCAATAGGGCACAAATGGCAGAAGAGCAGTGGAGCAGAGGCAGGAATGGCAGAAAAACAGTAGAGTAACACGAGTCAGACTCATACTCACTACTTCTTATTCCTAGGCTTTAACTCTTCTGCTGCATTTCGCAGAAAAATGTAGTTTTTCTTCTGTGGATTATAAAATTCATGACCCTAGAAAGAAAAATCATCTGTATTTACTCTCTTCAAAGAAGAAATATCAGCATTACCTTAAAACATAAGACTATAAACATTGCATTAATTTAGTTTATTAAGACAAAGTCTTTAAGACCAGATATTGGATAACATTGGTGGATTAGAAACAGCTTACTATAACAAGTAATTACAACAACTGTGCATGTAAAGTAAAATTTAAGGGATGTTTATCCATTTTTAAGGTATAAAAAAACTTTTAAAAAAACCCACCCACATATCTGTAAGCCCTACTTTATAGACACAGCATAAGAGCTCAATATATATATTTTTTTAATGTGATTCTAGGCAGAGAAGAAACAACAACTTTAATGGCTGCTCAGTTTCACTTTATATTTTCTGTATTTTAAATGAAATAAGGTCACACTTTTCCAATGTGAAGCCCAAGTTCTACAGGCAACTACAAAAATATCTGTTCCCCAACTGCAGATGCACATACACTGTTTTGCATATTGACGCTATTTGCATACGCATTACCAACTCAATACTCAAGTACTCAAATCAGGGAAAGTAAACACTAATAAACCTATTAAAGTCCAATACACATCTTGAAAATTACAAACTCCACTTGACAGAAATGGTTCTAGAAAGGAAATTTAATACCTACTGGTTTTACTACTTAATTTGGTTTACAGATCTGAAAGATTCCTCAGTCCGTTTCTACCACTGCAGCCTACCCAGCATTGAGAACAGAAGAATTCACCTGCCCTAGTGTCCAACAGTGATGTTACTTTGGGCAGCATGCAGAGACTAGATACAATGCAGTAAATTAAAGTTTTGCTCTGCTTGTGGCACGCAATCAAGTTCATCTGTGTGACTTCTGCATTCATTTCAGTCAAAACCACAAGGAATATTATCCTCAGATTTAAAAGTGCTAGTTATAACAAGGAAGTAATACTTTTAATGGAAATTGCCATTCCCTTAAAATCAGTTACATTTCAACCTTGTTACTCCCTTCTCAAACTATTAACAAGTATGGATTCTGCACATATTATGGTTTGTTGTGATTCTCTTGCACCTATATGATTTATTGTTGAGACAATAGAAAAGAAATACATAAGTGCCAACAGGAAGCTGCACTGAACGGTACTGGGAATTTAGTACATGGCATTCAAACACTGGCTTAAGTGTTTATAACCACAGTCACAGCTTTTTTAAAAGTTAATCTGCAGAAGAAACAAGAGATGTGCATTTCAAAGAGATTTGTGGGAACCTGTTAGGGTGCCACATTGCCCCATGACAGTCCCCACAGCAGAATGCGTGTGAGCAACCAGAATAACTGCTGAATCACGTAATTTACATTTTGCTCATCCACATTTGCAAAATAGCATTGTTGAGCAATCTTATCCAACTGAAGCTAAAAATCAAAAATGCACTACTTCAGTGTTAAGTTTCATCAGATGTCTAAAACAACCATTACAAGTTCTCTTGCATGCTTGTGAAATTAGGAAGAGTCAGCTACTCTTCATAAAGAACAGCGAAAGCCTCGTGTGAAAAGGACAGTCTTAGTTGCCAACTCATAGGAATCTGAGTCTAAACCTTTCTTACCTTTGACCAGTCATAGCTGGAAGCATACGCAAATATATTGCCATTATGGTTGAAACAACAGGCAGATATCGGCTGGTCAAGTTGTTCCGACGTTTTTAGTTTCGTTCGTGCATCTTTATCCCAAAAGCTGAATCTACCATCAGATCCTACCGTTGCAAGAGTACCATGGACTGGGTGAAACGCTATCCCATTTACCTGCAGAATCATTAAAAAAACACTATACAAACACCACACATATGAACAGGTGATGGGAACATGTGCTGAAACCTTAGCGAGTAAATACACAGGAAAGATTTTTTTCAACTAGATATAGTTCTTATTTTTTAAAAATGTTTTCAGATACATGCTCTGGAAAAACAAACAAAAAATAGCACCCAAGAAACAAGGAAAGCATCGTCTCTTTTGTAGCTAAAAATTCAATGCACAATGCCATTACACAAATATATTAAGTGCTGTTTCAATACCAGCAAAACTAACAAGAGTCCTCCCCACCAAGATGATTTAATGAATGGCTGATCTAGTGCTTGTTGATAAAAAAATTTGTCTTTCCTCTTAACATATGACCATGACTGGTCTTTAAACATATGTCTAAGATAGCTTTAGGCAAGATAAAAGGTCAAGGAGAACAAATAATTCATAGTAAATTTTACATTAAGAGTGTATATTGCCCTGTACAAATGATCTCATGGTATATGCTGAATACTTACAGCATAGATATCCTGAGGTGCTGATGTGTTTGTTCCGTTGGAGCGATGACATTTAAAAGTGAAATTATCTTTTGCACTGAGGGAAAAAAAAAAAGTCTTTTTACTTTCTTCATTGTAAACTGAGCAATAAAGAAAGGATGTTTTATTCTATGACACTTACGGGTTTGGGGGGTTGATATAATGAATAGCTACTCTTCCTTCAATACTTCCAAGGGCAAATCCAGTAGGTTTGTTCACTTTGTCTTTAAAAATAGCAACACAGCGATGCTAAATTTGAGAGAGACACAGAGGATTTTAGACAGAGGCTTGAGGGCCAGATTTTTTGAATGCTGCCCTCCATTGGGACACAAAACATCACATGCATCAACACAAAGTAAAGCAAAACCACAAACAAGGTCAAGAGATAGGTCAAATTCTATCGAGAATTTGGGCCACAGTATTTACATTTGTAAATCCTTATGAAAACCAGCAATGGATTAATGGCAAAACAGGTCATGTGCCATACCAAGATGAAGTACTTAGGTTTTGAAACACTGTTTGCTTTTACCAAAAAATGGCAAGCCCACAGTTTCAACAGTTTGTATTAATACACTTCTAATATAATAATTTACCTGGTGTTTAAGAGGAGATTCTATTCTTCTAAATTCAGAAGGCTGATTCTCTAACTGATAAACTATCAAACCCCTTTCTGCAGTGGCCACAGCAGCCATAGGATGAACCTGGATAAGGTTATAAAATAGGTTGGAAGAGAAACACTTGTGTTAATAGCATGGCAGAGAATTCTACTTATTATTTCACAGAAATCCCTGAAGAAGTTCAAGGAATTAGACTGTTTTCTGGGGTGAAGGGAGGGAGGCCAAGGGGAAGAAGAGAAAGAACAAAGTTCATTTGTAGAAATATCTTCAAACAAAACAAATCGGTTCTTCCCTGCCACTGAGAAAATAAACACACCAAAAACCCTTCAAATTATGAGCTGACCCTTCCAATGTGAATCGCAACAGTGGTACTCAAACTCATTTAGAAATTAGGGTAGGTCAGTCCTAGTGCTGATTTGGTTTCGGGATGTTAAAAAAGACACTATGCATGTTTTGTATGATGCAAACACCTGTTTTCCAGAGGCTTGATCAAGAAGATCAATTTATGTTTTACTGCTAAGATCACAAAAAGATCAAATACTAACAGTCAGTATCTAGTTCTAACCTACACAAGCCTCAAAGACTCCCAGTTTACTCATACTCCCAGTCATCTAGCTGACACTAGTTTATCATGTGTCATGGCTTACCACATCTGCACAGTAACATCTCTCAGGGAGCTGCAATGTCATCATAGGTGTTGGTGAACGGGTATCCCAGAACTGATGGAAAACGAAAAATGAACGAGGTTGGAGTTACACACCATTGTAATTACTTTAGTAAAGAGAATGCAATTTGTACTAAGTTGTTTCTTTCTTGTCTATAGTCAGAATACTGCAACTCTCTGAAGTGAGACTATTTCATTCACCTCGTTTTTGCATTAGTATTTAAGATAATATTTTCACTTCACATAAATATTTTCATACAAAGATTACTAGTATACTTTGTGTCCATTTGTTCAGGTAAAAATCATACCTTCAAAGTTTTATCCCAGCTTCCTGTCATCACACAACTATAATTTGGTGCTTTAATCCAATGGATAGTCTTCACAGGAGCATCATGCTGAAGGAAAAAAAAAGGACAAACACACATACATTTGTTAAGATAACAGTCCATACTTCTTGTTTATGCTCCTCATGTTTTTGTACATATTTACACGTTTTATCCATTCAAGAAAAGTGATTTGTTACTTTAGTCACAGCAGTTAGGATAAAGGTTGGTCATGGCCTCGTTGTGTTGTTTAGCGCTGTAAAATGACTCACGTAAGAAAAAAATGGTTCCTGACACAAAAAACTACCATCCACTCCCCCTGTATCACACAATGGTCAAGCAGAACTAGAAATTATCAGCTGCAAGACTTTCTATTTATTTATAAAGGATATTACTCATCATACTAAAAATCCATACTTTGTAATAAATAGCATACTATATCAAACTAATGAAAAAACAGCTTCTGACAACAGCTACAGAAGAAAGGCCTGTTAATCACACCAACAAGATTTTAAAATCAATGCTGAGAATCTGAATTTTATCACCTCAAACAAGATACGAGAAGCAATCATTAACAGGAGTAGGTCTCTTCTTCAACAATATAACTGGTAACTTATTTTAGTCACCACAACTACAAATTCTATGAAGAGACACACACTTCTAAATCGAGAATGTAAATTATAATCCCTGTTACTGCTGCAGCAGAAAGCTGGTATTTGAGAAAGTGAATTCAATGATTTCTTAAAATTTTCCTTCCCCTATAATGCAGCAGGGTGACTTAGTGAGATCACTGCAGCAGTGGAAAGAGCTCTCTCAAGTAAAATACAGGAAACAGCAGCACAGGTTATTCAAATCACTTTGATTGCAGGTCTCCCTATTCATGTGCCCTTCAAGATCTCAAAAACATAAAAAGCACCCTACCACCTCTTCTTCACATAGCAGTATCTACTTCAGAAGCAGTAAGCATTAGCTTAATTTGCTAATAAAGGTAGCTTTTAATAAAAATAGGAAGAGAAAAAACCACATCTAATAGCTTGGGGTTTGCTTACTTACTTGTGCAATCTGAATAGCTTGATTACTGTTGAGATCCCACATTTTGGCAGTTTTATCACAGGAAGCAGTAAATACTTTACTCCCATCCTAAAAAAACAAGAAAAAGGCCAATGGATTAAATAGCTCTATCATGCAGTATCTATTAGAAACCTGTCAAGTCTCCCTCTCTTCTAGCAAGACAAAAAAGAAACATCAAAATTTATTTATGACTCTATGTTATGGTGGTGCATTTAGGGATGCCACCAAAACAGACATTTCTCCATGCTTGTCCATTACCATTTCTTTATATCTATCCATTAGTAACAAAGATTAGGTATGAACACATAAAGGTTATTTGCTCAAATATACCAAACAAAAATACTCAGTATTTAGTTAGAACATTTTTTTAAAGGAAAAAAAAAAATCCCATAGTTAATCTTGCCACTGCTTTTTCCCCCCGCCCCATACTCTGAAACATGCAAACACTTAGCACTGATAACTGCCTTTAAGCATTTTGTTAGTCCAACCATGCAAAGCTGATTTCAGAGATTGTGAAGAATGTTTTTGCAGAATTCCATGGGCCTGGCAAAATCTTACAGAAAATCACGTTATATATTGCAAAATATAAACAACATACAGTGGAAACTCAGCTTAAAATAGAGTACTGTTTTATATTCAAGGTTCTCCATTTAAAGCCCTCTCTAAATTTTCTTTTAAACCAAAAGAAAAAACTGTGCTAGCTATTATTTAGCTTTAAATACTTTCTTACTTTTAAACTCACTTTCACCCTTCTTACGCCCATGTTAGTCTATTCAATTAGGACATGCTTAGCACATCTTTTACAGTAACATAAGTCTATACAGTAACAACAGGCTGCATCTACATGTGGCACTCATGTCTGTCTGGAAATCACATGCCAATTTATTTAGAGTTTGGGTAAAAATTGTCTATTTATTTTTAAATAGGAACATACATCACTCCAGCAGCCATCTAGTACAGGCCCTGTGTGCATCTGCTGAGCCTTCGGAATTGTCTGCCCATTATCTTGAACTTCCCAGCAGCGAACCTGTAACAGGAGAAGATTATGCAGACGTAACATATTAACACTAAGAACTTACAAGACGTCTGTCCTTGAAGATCTGAGCCTCGGTTTATCCAACAAAAAGTCTGATTATAAACACCAAGCTTTTTCAATAACTAGTGAAACCTTATTTCTCTGATTATGTTCCGTTTATCCATACAGCCACAACTCAACCCCGACTTCAGAAGTGCCTTACGATCACATAAAACCTCCCAGTGCTCTCCTGGAGAACCCTTAACCGTCAGCAAGAAGCTGCCTGCTGCAGGATACTGGCCAGAACAGTTAAAAAACACACATTTGTCTTCCCTGCCCTGTTTATGCCAGTTGGCATCTCACCCTTCAATCCGCAAAATTTAATAAGGGTGTAGGAACCTAATCTTTTTGAGACTGCACTGTCAAACTGGATGATTTAACAGTGTCCATGGTTCTTTCACTGAGAAAAGCAGAACTATGTTAGCCTAATCGTACAAGAAAATTAAGCTAAAAACCAAACAAGTAGGAAAAAGAAAAATCTAACAGGGAAACCATTGACTACATATTCAGAGCTGAAGCTTAAAATATACAGGCAGAGGAATGACTTAGCTGAACATGGTAACTGAATTTCCCAGTTGAAGCAGCTCAGCAATGTCAAACTTGGTGCCTTGGCACCAGACACAAACCTTGCAGTTCTGCAAAGAGGAAGATTTTCAGGTACCCTGGCACAAGTTTTTAGGATCGCATTTTGCAGTTCAGGCACCAATGCTCCCACTTTATTCATCTGTAGGTCTGACTGGGAGTACTTACATCATTTGCCCACGATCCTGCAATGAGGAAATTACCCGGCAATGTTGGTGGACTAAATGCTAAACAAGATATGCTGTCGTCAGGCGGAGATGTTACTTCAATATCCTATAAAGGACGGAAGACAAAACAAAATTAGCCACATTTGAAAGCTATCCTGAGATCCCATTACTTCCATAGGGTGAGTTAGGAGGTGCTGCTGTGGCACAACAAAGCACAGCAGCGCAGTGGTTCCCACAGGGCTGACGCACACACCTTCATTGGGTTATGGTTATCCGCAGTTGTGCTGCCAAACATGCCGGTGCCTCCAGTGCCAAACCCAGATGTTGATCCGAACAGACTCATCTTTGCCCTGAAAAGGAAGGAAAGGCTTTCTGAGACCTGCAGGGCCCTCAATCATCCCTAGGATGTCTCACCACACAAGCACACCTCTCAGCCCGCCTGGGAGGCGCTCAGGAATACAAAAAAAAAAAAAAATTAAACCCAAACCCAAACCCAAGCCAACCCACCGCACCTCTCGTTGCAGCTGGATC